TAAACATGGAATTGTTGTTGTTGTTAAGTGCCATCAAGTCAGCTCCGACCCATAGCAACCCTATAGAGGGTTTCCAAGGAGCGACTGGTGAGCTTGAACCACCAACCTTGCAGTTCAAGCCGACTATGCAGTCTAGCACATTAACCCACAGTGCCACACCAGGACTCCAAACATGGAATAAACATGGAATAAACCCATGCATATATGAACTGGAACCCTAAGCAGCAACAATACTTTTGGACTTACCCTTATATATACACATACAAATGCATACAGACATGTATTTGAGGATAACTGAAGAGAATACCTCAGAATTCTGCATCATTTTCTTTTGTGCCATTTCTATCTCTTTCTGTTTGCAAAAGTGATTGGTCAGAATTCCATCTTGCAATATTCTAGCATTCTGTTCTCGAGAAAGTTGCCTCTGGGTATCATTTCGTTCTTCTACAACCTAGAGACACATTTGATTAAATTTTAGTAGTCCTGGTGTGGCACTGGACCACAAGGTCAGCAAGTTCAAACTCACCAGCCACCCTTGGAAACCAGATACAGGGTCACTATGAGTCGGAGCTGACGCAACAGCACTTAACAACAGCCATTTTTTAAAAAAGGAAAAAAATGCCTAAAAGCTTAATTAAACACAGTCTTTTTTAAAATGTATTAAAAAGAAGACACCTATTAAATCATAGAATTCTACTTTGCAATATTCTGGTATTCTGTTCTTTATAATCTTTATATCACATGGATCATTCAAATTAGAGCTAAATTTGTCATACAACCATAAGCAACTCTTAAACACAGGCAGATGTGTATTGTGAAAGAAAATGTCTTTACAAACATTTAACTACTTTTATTATATAGTCTCATAGCTACTTAATCTATATTTTAACAGAAAAATGCATAAACTAACACTTATGTTAATGATTATACTCAATTTACCTTCAATTCCTTAATTCAGAAAACATACTGAGCAAAACAAAATGCCAAGAATTGCAACAAATTGTTTTAGCTATAAACCTCATAGGTGATATTTAGGGTAAGAAAACATTCTTCATTTATTTTAAACCTAAACAAGACATTAACATCAAAGACCCATCATAAATAATATTGATGAAATAGTCAGAAATAAGACATTTTTACCAGAGGTGAATTTACCTGATTGAAATTATTTCTTACAGTCCTCAATTCCATATCTAGTGTCCTAAGAGTGAGTTCAAGTTGTTGCTTCATTTCAACTTCTTTACTATATTGTTCTTCTTTTCTTCTTAATTGGTCTTTAATTTTTTCATATAACATATCAGCATTTCTTCTCTTCTCTTCTTCTTGTTTTAAGGTAAATCTACATTTAGAACAAGCTTATCTTAAAATTCATTTTGTTAGAAAATAAAAAGTTCATTTTGAGTTTTGGATCTATATATGTTGGTTTTTTTATCCACTTTACGAAATTTCTGACACATTTTCCTTCCTAGTTCTACCTTTCTCAATTCAATCCCTTACAAAAGGGATATACACTTAAAAGGCTCGAATGAAAGGACATTTCTATTAATCGCTAGGTTTTGTTAAAAATAATTCTGGCTAGTATTTATGATAAAAAAAATTTTAATTATTCAGTAAAGTTAGGGATTAAAATTTTTTCCCCCAAAGTTACAATTATTCCTCCATCAGACAATATTGTAAGAGTTAACTAGTAAGCAAGAGAAGTTGCTATTTAAAGCTTATAAATTCACCATAAATGAAAATTTAAGGATTTCACATAGATGAAATATTACAGGCACTCAAAAAATGATTTAGAGTATAAGACAGTACTTTGAAGTGCCTTTTATACAACATATATCTGTATATAAAATACAATCCAACACTAGGCTAGGAGGTCTAATTTGTGTCACTCCATATTTTCGCTATTTCTGTTTCCATAAATTTTAAAGTTATCCTGCCTTATTGATTACTGTCTATTTTATTAATCATCTTCATAGCCCCTTTGGAACAAGACAGGAATAATATCAATTAAACAGTAAAGATTAATATGTACTTTCAACATAGAACTTTGCATTAACTTTCTATCTGTGTCTGAGAGAACCCTATGGAGCAGCTCCACTCTGTCCTAGACTACCAGTGTGAGTCAGAATTGACTCAATAGCAATAGTTTAAGTATGAGAAAGTTAATGAATAAAGTAATAATCATTTTTATTTTACTCTTCTTTCTATGCATATGTTAAGAATAAAATTCTGCATTTTTTTTAAAAAAAAAAACAATAGTTTGAGGAAAATACTCATTTGGTTCTCTGCTGGTAGAACTGTAAATTAATATAAACTTTCTCAAAAATAAGTTAGAAGAATGAATTAAAGACCTGTATAAAGGTCTTATACTTCAACCAAACAATTTTGAATTGAAACATTGGTGCTGTGGGTTAATGCACTGGACTGTAAGGTTGATTTGAACCGCAAGGTTGGCGGATTAAATTCACCAGCCGCTCCTTGGAAACCCTATACAGGGTCGCTATGAGTCGAAAGCGACTCAAAGGCACATAACAACATTCAAAGTAAATAATCAAAAATGCAGAAAAAGATTTATATTTAAAAAGTTCCTAAAACATTAGACTAGTTAGATACAAATGAGAAACCTAAAACTCAATTTTTTAAATAAATAATGAGATTTACACATGATGGACTTCCACATGGCCATTGAAAAAATGATGTAGAAGAATAAGTATTTACTTACTAAGAGACACATTTACTATGAAGGAATTGCTGTACTATTTCCAAGAATTCATTTTTCTACTATAACTAAGAATTTTTCTCCCCTGTAAAATCCTAGAAGGCAAGTTAATAATTTCAAAAATTGTCCTACATATCTGTAGTATAAAAGTAAATAATTGAAATGTTTTTGTAAAACCAAGATTTTATACCTCAATCTGCAGAGTTCTTGTTCCCATTCCACTTTTTGATGCTCTAACTGTGATTTTATTTCTTTTGTTTCTGAGAGCTCCTTTTGTAGTCCACTAAATTTATTTTCCATTTTTTTTATTTTTCCTGTAAGTAGTTCACAGTGATTTTTCTTAATTTCTATTAATCTTTCATATGAAAGAATTGTATCCTGTATTTTCAACAGACTAACAGAATCTGTATAAGAGGGAAATGAAGATAGAGATAATATATATGAGTACTTTTTTGGCTCAAACTCACCAGCCACTCCTCGGAAACCCTATGTGTTGTCGCTGTAAGTCAGAACCAACTCAATGGCACTTATCAACAACAACTTTTTGGGTACAAAGGACTGTGCATTTTTACATTCACACATTCATACACTGAACAAATAAATGTACACTGAGTATCTACAATGTGGAAGACATACTAGGTTCTATAGATAGAACACACAAGACCCCTACTCTTGTTTAGCTCAATGTCTGTTAGAAGAGAAAAACAAATAAAATGATAACTATAAATTCAGACAGACACTCTTAGAAAACAGAGTTCTCTGGTTACATTAAGAAAACCTGATTTAGAGACAGACCCAGGGAAGATGAGGTCATGAAGATTTCTCTGAGTAAGAGGTGCCGACAATGAGAACTGGAGGATAAACAAGAAGTAGTTAAGCAAAGAGAAAGACGAACATTCTAGACAATGTGCCAAATCTACTGCAATCCGTTTCCAGCCAAGAAATAGTAACAGGTACTGTTTTACCTTAACATCCTGAAATAAGCAAAAATAAAACAGAAAAAATATATTAAACAATGACTTTCAAAACAATGGATTTCAAGCAGTGAAGGACAATGATCCCTGGAAGATAGGAAACAAATGAAGTAAGCTTTACAAATGCCTAGCTCACTGATTTAAAGTTTCCAGGTCACAAAACAAGGAGAAGGAACTGAGATGGAGTCCAACAGACTCCCTGAGTTGAGGTAACAAAGTCGATCATCTTGGAAAACCAAGGCAGATAGAGATCATAGGTTAGAACACCAGAAAGAGGAAGGAGGTTTTTTTTCTCCCTAACATAATAAGGAAGAAAATAACCAATTAATTGAGTTATACTTAGAATTATCCTGGATGTTAGAATTACCAGAGAAAGCTAGTAACAGTTATTTTAACAGTGTATTAACTATATAAAAAGTTAAGTAGAGGCCTAAGATATATTTTTTAAAGACCCAAGTCAGGCTAGAAGAGACGCAAGTTACAATGTCAGAGTTGAAAAATACACTGAGTAGGAATAAAAACAGATCAGACATTGCAAAAGAAAGCATTAGTAAATTTGAGATATGAATGAACTGGGAAATTTAAAGAAGCTAATGTACAAGTTCCCAAAGATGTGAGAAAGGAGACCAAAAAAATGGCCCAAAACATCCCAAACTTAATAAAAACTATAATCCCAAGGATTCAGGAAGCTCAACAAACCCAAGTACAAAAATACAAAGAAAACACCAAGGCACATACAAAGAAAACCAATGATGAAGAGAAAACCTTAAAAGCTAAAGACGGATGAGAAACAAAGATAAAGATGAAATAAGATTTCTTGTCATAAACATCCAGTTTGTCATGTTGATTATACCTCACTAATTGAAAACAAAAGTTATATTGCAGGAACAAAAATCTAAGAAGTGGCTAGGACACAGAGGAAAAAGCATATGGAATGATAAAACTACAGGATGGTGG